AAAAGCCGGAAGTGGTGCTGTGGCTCAAGTGGTAGAGCGCTAGCCTTGAGCTGAAGAGCTGAGGGACAGCGCCCAGGCCCAGAGTTCAGGCCCAATGACTTGTTATCTTGCCCATGTAATTGTAACTCCTCTGTACAGTATTCTCACAATAAAAATAAATAATGAAATAATGAAATTAAAAAAAAGAATATCATCATATCCATGGAGTCTCATATATACACTGTATATGCCAGGCAAGATCTCTACCACTTGAGCTGTGCCCCTAGCCCTTAAGGTTAATCCTAACAAGTACAGATGCTAAGACCCCTTGGTTAGAGTTTTATTTATCAGTCACTGACTTTGGGCCATAAGCCCTAGAACTCAAATGGCTATGCTAAGAATTTATATCAGTAAAAGCAGCATACTGCCACTTCCCATCTAACAGAAAAAATTTCCTAGCTAAACAATAAAACCTAATGGAATGGCCTTGTCTGAGTGGAGGGAAGGCTGAAACCGCAGACAGAACTCATGAATGGAAAGAGGAAGGTAGACAAAGATAGTCATGATACTTAATACACATGTGAAATTGGAACTAAGTTACTTTAGGAGATGAGTGGGGTTGGAATATGTGGAGGATGAGAATAATGCAAAGGGTAGAAGTGATCAAGATGCATTGTAGTAATAAGGTGAATTGAAATCCCTTTGTTCAGGTATTTAAAAATAATACAAATAAACTAATAAGGTTTTTAGAACTCTTAGACGCAAAATACCTCAACTTCTGAAAGTTTTCTAACCACTTCAATTTTCTCCTGAAGAACCCGCCTCAGGGACTCTTTGGCTGTTGTCTCATAGTTGTGTTTATCTTCTTGTAATGCTATAAGTTCCTTCCGTAAACTATCTTCTGTTTGATTCTAGAATAAAAGATATTTATAATCATAGCTAAGTTATTTTTTCTTTAATAAGCTCTTACCCCTTGAAAAAAATAAACACATTATGATGCCATTTAAATTTTGTCCTAAGATACCTCTAAACACAAATTATGTTGGCTCAGTTTAAACTGATGCTATATTTAAAAATCAATCAATATTCTTCCTTTTGTATTTGGGATTAAATACCTACTTTGGAGCATGCCTGTAATTGGTTTCCCATAACTTCTAACCGTGATAAGAGTCTATCTTCATCTATTAAAGCCTGTTGAAGAAAAATTAAATACGAATAAAATTCCATGCCAATTTGGTACAAAAGTTGAACATGTAAAGGATTCTTGAATATAAAGACAACTGGAATACCTGCCAACTGGTATCTGAAGCCTCTTGGGTGATGGCTAGTAGCCGCTGAAGCGTGGCTAACTTCTGTTCCAACATCTGTTCCCGATGTAAGGCCTCCTAATAATTAAATCACAAAAGAGATTCTAATAAAACTCAGCATGATTCCTTTGAAGAATAATCAATTTTCAGAGTATTTTTAATATTTTACTGTACCTCTCCTTGATGCATTTCAATATTCTGAATTTGATATGCACAATAATTATTGTTGTTATGATGATGATGACTGATGGTATTAAAGTCTGAATTCAGGGCCTATAAGTTGCTAGGCAAACATTCTATCACTTGAGCCATTCCCTAAGCTCTATAATCCTTTAAAACATATATGGTCATGCTATTCCAGCCTCATCTGTTGGTCTGTAAGTACTGCTATTTATTATAGGAGATACTCCAAATGCAACTTTCCCCCAAAGTAATCACTTGCTTTTGTTTTCTTTTTAGTCATAATTTGGAAATTTCAAAACTGACTAGAAAAAGCCAACATACACTTGGGCTTACATTTTATATGCAAATGTAAAATATGTATATATCTCAGAACAAACTGATTACAAACTAAAACAAAATAATTTGGTTAGCCAAAAGACTGTAGTGGTTTAACTGTACAATTGTATCTAAGAGAGTAATTGCTCTTATTTTTTTCCTTTTAAAGAAGTGCTTTATATACCTACATATTAATGTATGTGTGTGTATGTGAATATACTAAAGAAATAGTCAGGCATGGTAGCTTATACCTGTAATCCTAGCTACTCAGGAGGTTATGATCTGAGGATCTTAGCTCCGCCAAAACAAACAAACAAAAAAATCCTTCAGATTCTAATTAACCAGTTAAAAAGCTAGACTGGGGCTTGAGAGGCATAGCTCAACTGGTAGAGTGCCAGCCTTGAGCAAGCGAGTCAAGTGAGAAGATGAGGCCCCGAGTTCCAAGCCCATGTACTGGCGATAAACAAACAAAAATAATTTATTGAATAAAGCTAGATTGGTGGGGTATATCAAGTATAGAACTGTGAGTAAAAAATGCTGAGAGTACAAAGTCTTGAGTTTAAGCCTCTGTAACAGGAAAAAAGACTACTCTCATAGTCTATTTCAGGTGAGCTGATTCTCGTCTTCACTGCACATTACTTAGGCAGCAATTAAAATGCCCCAAATAAGCAAGAATCCACCAATAATTGTTCAAAATAACTAAGAGATAAAGGAGTTACATTTGGTAGCTCCAAAAAAAATCTTTTTACAAAGAAAGTCACTGTCTAGGCAAGGCCTGATCTTTAGGTGACTTCTTAAAATTTGACAGCTGATAATAGGACCTTCTAAATGCTCACAGCATTTAGTTGTAGTTTTTGGCCTACCTTTAACTTCTACTCCTATCATTATCTATACAGTTGCTACCTTACTATCTTCGAGCTACCTCAACAGAGAAGCATATGCTTCAAACATTTGAGTACTTGTGGTTTAAAGTGTACATTTATTGTTTCCCACATCTTTGCTACACAATGATTAGGAAGAATCTGACCTAATTAGAGTTAGAAGTACTGTTTTAATGTAACCCTAAAAAAAACTTATAGATTAAGGAATTTAATTAAATCTGTATCACCTCAGAATATACATTAAAACAACTCACATGTGAAAGAGACTACCACATTTATTTTATGTTTCCAAACATTCCTAATAGCAAACAAATAACAAAAATGCAAAATGTTCTAGTGAAAAACAAAAACAGGCTGGGAAGGTGGCTCAGTGGTAGAGCGCTTGCCTTGCATGCATGAGGCCCTGGGTTCCATTCCTCAGCACCACATAAGCAGAAAAAGCTGGAAGTGGTGCAGTGATAGAGTGCTCACCTTGAGCTGAAGAGCTCAGAGCGGGAGCCCAAGCCCAGAGTTTAGGCCCCGTAAAAAAAAAACAAAACACCAAGCACACATAATCTATCTACCACCACTAGATGGTGTCATTTCACTTTTTTTCTTTCTTTTACTCAAGTTTCTTGACCGAATCATATTCTAACAGAAATGTAATAATTCCAGGAATAGTCTTTTAGTTCAAAGGCATAAAATATATCTATTCCAGCTTTTATTAAAAAGGTTTAAAACTTGCAATTTACATTAGAATTTTAGCAATCTAATAAGATGTATAAAGAAAAAGAAAAGTGAGAGAAGGGATGGGTTAGGAGTGATGGATGACAATGTTGTCAGACACCTTGTATTCATTTACTGTTTTGTAAAATGGGAACTTCTTTGTACAACTACTTAAAGATAATAATAATAATAAAGTAAAAAAATAAAAAAGAAAGATGTATAAAGAAAAGGCTTGGGGGGGAGCAGGGAGGATTGGGTGGGGGGTGGGGGGGGAGGATGGGAAGGGGAAACAAAGGAGGAGGCAACAATGCTTGATAAGAAATGTACTCATTATCTTGCCCATGTAATTGTAACCCCTCGGTACAGTATTTTCACAATATAAAAAAGAAAAGAAAAGGCTTGATGGTGTAATTTCCTGTGAAAATTAGAAAAAACAAATGTAAATAGATATTCAAAGAGCTGGCAAAAAAAAGTTGGACAGAGTAAAAGTAAGGCAGGTTTGCAGTCTATGACAGTGACAACAGTATATGCAATCGGACAATTGATTTAATCTATAAACCCCCTATTTCTCACATGAAAAATGAGGTACAGACCAACTTTAACATTTTCTTCCACCTCTAAAAAGATCTCCATTAACTAATGTATCTGACAATTAAGTGGCAAAGGGTTATTGACATTTATAGCACATATTTTATTTGACAGGCTCTGTTTTAAGTGCTTGGCAAATATTAGCATATATTCTTCAGAATTTAAAGAGGTAAATGCTATTACTTTGCCCATTCCCTTTATGAGAAAAACAGGGCCCAAAGGTTTTAAACAATTTTCTTATTAGCATATCAAAAGTTAAAACTGGATCAAAACTAAGCAATTCTGGCTAAAACTTACATTATTAACTATACCACTAACATGCAAATATACCAAGTTCTTTTCTCTGTACCAGTTCATTATATCTGGTGGAAAATGAAATCAAATTAATGTGTTACTTTCAGTTCATTTTCACAGATTTGCATGCTTTTTCTTTTCTTTTTTATTAACATGTTAATGAACAAATGTTCACATGTATAAGGTAAAATTGTTCTCAGTGATCAATTCCTGTAAACTAATGTATGATTATCTAACTTTAAACAACTAAAAACATACACAAATAAATTAAGGTCACAGCAGGTCACAGAATTAAATAAGTAGCAGAATCAAGATAAAAACTTCTCACACCTATAAACTTAGCTACTCAGGAGGCTCAGATCTGAGGATCACGGTTCAAAGCCTGACCAAGTAGGCAAGTCCATGAGACTCTTATCTCCAATAAACCACTCAGAAAACCGAAAGTGGTGCTGTGGCTCAAATGGTAGAGTACTAGCCTTTAGATGAAGAGCTGAGGGACAGTACCCAGGCCCAGAGTTCAAGCCCCAAGACCAACATTTAAAAAAAAAAAAAGATTAAAAATTTCTATCTCTAGCAGGACACTGGTGGCTCATACCTGTAATCCCAGCTACTAAGGAGATCTGAGGATCTTGGTTCAAAGACAGCCTGGGCAAAAAAAGTCCATGAGACTTTTATCTCCAATTAACTACCAGAAAACCAGAAGAGGCACTATTGCTCAAGTGGTAGAGTGCTCATGTTGAGCTGAAGAGCTCAGGGACAGCACCCAGGCCCAGAGTTCAAGCCCCATGACTGACAAACAAAAACCCAAACAAACAAAAGAAAACTTCTATCTCTAAACTCCTAACTTAGAATTTTCTTTTAGGATGCTTGTTCATCATAAAACAGTCTTAAAGAGGCCAGCCCAGTTCTATAGAAGAAAAAGCTCTTGTTTGCTTTTCAGAGATTTGAATGTCTCTGTAAAAACAGAACTAAGGGCTGGGAAGGTGGCTCAGTGGTAGAGTGCTTGCCTTGCATGTATGAGGCCCTGGGTTTGATTCCTCAGCACCACATCAGCAGAAAAAGCCAAGAGTGGTACTATGGCTCAAGTGGTAGAGCACTAGCCTTGAGGTGAAGAGCTGAGGGACAGCGCCCAGTCCCAGTTCAGGCCCCACAACCAACGACAAAAACAAAAACAAAAACAGAACTAAGTGCTCTAGGAGCCCATTCTAGGAGCTATCAAGAAACTTTTCTATGGAGCCAGCAGAGGCCAGCACACAGTGGGGTCTGTTAAAACTCATACCAGGTGCAACCTCCAGTTCTATCACATACTAGTTATGTACGTTATTAAATAAATGTTCCTGTCAGTAATTCCATCTGGAAAAATTGGAATAAAGTATGCATATACGTTTGTGGTAAGGATTAAATAAGTTAATATAGGTAAGTTGCTAGAACAAAGCTTGGCATTCAGTGGTATATAATTAATTATACGCTATTAGTATTACCATTTAGTAGTCAAAATCTCTTGTACAAAAGCTTTTCTTCTCTAGACTCAAAAATCTTACTCTCTTATCTTTTCTTCAAAAGACCTATTTGTGTGTGTGTGTGTGTACGTGCGCACACGCATGCGTGTGCATACCTGCTGATCCTGGGACTAGAACTCAGGGCCTGGATGCTTCTCTGAGCTTTTTTTACTCAAAGCAGCACTCTACCACTCAAGTGGTGGTTAGTTGGAGATCTTCAGATCTCAGCCTCCCGAGTAACTAGGATTATTGATATGAGCAACTAGCACCCAGCTTCCTATGTTTTGCTCAAAGCTAGTGCTGCTCTACCATTTGAGCCATAGCACCATTTCCATTTTTTTGATGCTTAATTGGAGATAAAAGTCTCACATACTTACCTGCCTGGGCTGGCTCTGAACCAAGATCCTCAGATCTCAGTCTCCTGAGTAGGATTACAGACATGAGCCATTATTACCAGGTAAGACCAACTCTTTTTATTTTCCCACCTAATCCTGGGGCTTGTCCCCAAACCTCTTTGTGCTCAAGCTAGTAGTGTTCTCTCCTACTTAAGCCACAGCACCACTTCCTGCTTTTTCTGCATAGTTTATTGGAGATAAGAGGCTCACAGACTTTCCTGCCCAGGCTGGTTTTGAATCGTGATCCTCAGGTCTCAGCCTCCTGATCAGCCAGGATTACAGGTTGTAAGCCACTGATGCCCAGCAAACCCAACCCTTAATCTGGTTCTTCTTTGAAAAAGTTTTTCTTTATACTTAGATCTAGTCAATTTTTTTTCTTTTTTTTTGGTTGTGGGGCTTGAACTCTGAGCTTGGGCGCTGTCCCTGCGCTCTTCAGCTGAAGGCGAGCGCTCTACTGCTTGAGCCACAGTGCCACTTTCTAGTCAATACTTTTTTATACTGTGCTTGTGAACTGGCAGAGTAAAATCTAAATTATACAATTCTACTTCCAAAGACTAATAAATAATTCTCAAGATTTACTTTTACCTGTAGATACTGAGAAAGTTGGAATAATTCCTGAGAGTACATACTGGGAGTGTTAGCAGCAACCTAGAAACAAAACAACATTGTCAACAGTCACAGAAAACACAAAAGATATTAAAGAAAATATTCTTCAAATGCCTGTTACTTTAATATGTATATAAGTGTTACTTTAAAATTAATCTATTTGTTTAGCTCAAGATATTTCTGGTCTATATCTGAGATTTATAAATAGTATTGTATTATAATATGCTGTTTTATAAGAAAGGTGGTGATACAAGTGCTACTCAAGGAAATATTCCTTGATATCCAAACTACAAATTTGTAGCAGAAGGCACAAGTCTTTCTTTTCCGTGTGTGTGTGTGTGTGTGTGTGTGTGTGTGTGTGTGTTTAATTAGACTGTTCTTGCCAGGGCCGGCTTTGAACCACTATCCTTAGAGCTCAGCCTTCTGGAGTAGGTAATTTTTTTTAATAAAGAAAGAAAACTAGGAAGCAGTGCTGTCAATCAATGTGGTAGAACACTAGTCTTGAATGAAAAAGCTCAAGGACAGTGACCAGGCCTGGAGTTCAAGACTGACAACTGACAAAAAACAGTTTCTGGATGCTGGTAGCTCAAGCTCTATGACAAACACAATATCCTAAATCAATTTCCTCTACCACTTAAGATATACCACAGCCCTTCTTGCGTTAGTTATTTTTCAGATAAGGTCTTCCAATTTGTGTGAGATCAGCCTTAGACCCCGATACTTTTGCGTCTACCTCCCATACAACTGGGTATTAGGTGTGCTCCACCAGGCTCAGCTTGTTTTTTAAGATAAAGTCTTATTAACACTTTTGGAGAGTGAGGAAGGAAGGCTGGGCTGACTTCAAACTAAGATCCTTCTATCTCTACTTTCCAAGTAGCTGAGATTACAGGTGTCATCCAGTCACATAGTTCCCTTTAAATTTCATCATTAGATAATTTTTCAATATGTGAATAAATCACAGTTCATTTAACAGTAACCATCTTCAAAGACATCTGTGGTGCTACTTGCTCATAATCTTAGCACTCAGGAGGTTAGCTAAGGCAAGAAGACAAGTTTAAGGCTAGTCAGGGCTACATGAGGAGACTTTCAGAAACAACAAAAAGGCATAATCTTTTTCAAAATTTGGAAACATATGTGTGTTCCCAGTGGGGAGCAACATGAAACCTAATGCTGTTCAATGGTCACACGCCATAAAAATTATTTTGACTTTCTTTAATGTTTTTAGAGGTATACCTATTTATTTATTTATATTTATTTTATTTATTTTTTGGGGGGGCAGTCGTGGGGCTTGAACTCTGGGCTTGGACGCTGTCCTTGCGCTCTTCAGCTCAAGGCGAGTGCTCTACCACTTGAGCCACAGCGCCACTTCCGGTTTTTTAGTGGTTTATTGGAGATAAAGAGTCTCACAGATATTTTCACAATAAAATAAAAATAAAAATTAAATTAAAAAAAAAAAGAGTCTCACAGACTCTTCCTGCCCGGGCTGGCTTTGAACCATGATTCTCAGATCTCAGCCTCCTGAGCAGCTAGGATTACAGGCGTGAGCCACCAGCACCTGGCACATTTATTTTTTAAATGAGGTAAAAGGTGTTTAAACACCATAAATCAGCCAAACTGTTTAGAATCCAAGAATTTTAAAAGACATACTTGGTCTAAGAGGTTTTTCAAGGCAATGGAATATATAACAAATATTAAGAAGAAGAAAAAATGAGCACTTAATAAATTACTATATCATTTACCTACATCCTCAACACTATTAAGAACATATAATATCATTCATTATTGAACTTACAAAGTATATTTTTATTAATGTAATTTTTAGTAGGAGGCATTACTTTTTTTTTTGGTCGGTCGTGGGACTTGAACTCTGGGCCTGGGTACTGTCCCCCAGCTCTTCAGCTCAAGGCAAGCACTCTACCACTTAAGCCACAGTGCCACTTCCGGTTTTCTGGTGCTTTACTGGAGGTAAGAGTCTCATGGACTTTGCTTGCTTGGGCTGGCTTTGAACAGCAATTCTCAGATCTCAGCCTCCTGAGTAGTTAGGATTACAGTGTGAGCCATCGGCCCCTGGCAGAGGTATTACTTTTTTAAGAAAATTATTTACTTCTGAAATAATTCTTGGTGTTATATAGGTTGATAATTAACCACTTTACCTCTACAAAAGGAGCCTAAGAAACAATTCTAGTTTCAAGCAGGACTTCGTTTTTCAGGTGAGATTTTTACCACTGATCACCAAAAGCAATTAGAGAATAATTTCTGTAAATTTATATTTCCATACTACTTCTGCCAAATAGGTGTTAACAATTAGACCAAAGCTTTACTAAGTTTCCAGACAGACCTGTACCTCTGAATACAGAGAAATGGCTAACATTTCTTGTCCTTGGTGAGGCACAAACAGATACATTTAGTGAAGAAAGCCAACTGCTGACTTTACATCCATTCAAAATTCTATGCATACTGAAGAGCAGAAGATTGCACTAACTATATAACACCGTATTTATTGTTATAAAAGAGAAACACATTTCTAGATAAAGCATATTAAAAAATAAGCTTTTAAAAATAATCGTTAACAACTTACTTTGTCAACAGGACTTGGTAATGGGGCATGGATGACGCTGAAAAGTAAAATTTAGAATTTTTATCTAACTTCCTGAAAACAGAGGAAATAAGATTATGAGAGTACCAGAATATTTTAAGTCACAAAATAGATATATTTTCCCTCACATAATTAAAAAATATAAATTATCTTTCAATCCTTCAGAAATGTATGATGTTCTTGGAAAACAAGGCAATACATATAAAAGTCTACTTTTTTGCACATCAATATATTTCTAAAAACAAATTAAAAAGCATTATGTAATAAAGATCCTTTAAGGACTACTACTTAGTGAAAATGGTGGTGAATTACTTGACTAAGTATTTATATACATAGAAAAGAAGCCCTTTTTTTAAAGATCAGAACTCAGGGCCTCACAACTGGCTTAGCTTGGTTGCTCATCTAATGCTCTGCCACTGGAATCACACTTTCTACTTAGTTTTTTGCTGGTTATTTTGGAGGTGGAGTCTCATGGGTTTTTCTGCCTGAACTAAGAAAGTCACGAACCACTGATGCCTGGTCAGAAAAGAAGCCCTCTTGAAATTACCCATTTTCAATTTTATAATGTATAAAGTAAGTTCTTTCCGAATTAAACATTCCTATGCTGAAAGTCTTAAAAAGCAAAGGCTGGGTTGAGAATGTGACCTAGTGGCATAGTGCTTGCCTCACATGCACGAAGCCCTGGGTTCAATTCCTTAGTACTACATACACAGAAATAGCTGGAAGTAGCACTGTAGCTCAAGTGGTAGAGTGCTAGCCTTGACAGAAAAAAAAAAAAGAGCTCAGGGATAGCACCCATGCTCTGAGTTCAAGTTCCAGGACTGGCCAAAAAAAAAAGCAAATGCTACAATATGCAATCTTCTTCTAGTGAAGACCAACTTTAGTTGATCAAAATAGAAACTACTGTTCTTCATCTGGTCACCTCAGAAACTAACTGAAAACTTAAATGTATGAATAAAGCTAAACTTGCATCACTTTCAAACAAAACCTTACTTTTTTTGCCTCATAAAGAACCACTGATAGAAAAGCAGTACAACAGTGGTAAGCATGCTGACTTAGAGGCTGTTTGACCAGGTCCAAATTCTGCTTCTATGTACCAGATGAAAGGTAGACTACCTTGTCAAGATAGATCTTAGCTTCGTCATCCATAAAATAGAAATAATTGTAAAACCATTCAAGTTTATTTATTTTTTTACCCTGGTCATGGGACTTAAACTCTGGGTCTGGGCACTGTCCCTGAGCTTTTTTTCGCTCAAGACTAGTGCACTACCACTTGAGCCATAGCTCCACTTCTGGTTTTTGGTGGTTAACTGGAGATAAGAGTCTCATGGAGTTTTCCTGTCTGGACTGGCTTCAAGCCATGATCCTCAAATCTCAGCCTCCTGAGTAGCTAGGATTACAGGTGTGAGCTACCACTGCTCCCTAGTGAAATTTTAAAGAAGTTATACCCAACTTTAGTTTATCTTTATTACTCCATAAAACTAAAACAGATATTTAAGCATAAGTTAATTTTTTATAAGCAATAGTCGTTACGGAAAATGTGACATAAAATATGAAGAAATGAACTAAAGTGATCCACCAATACCCAAAGACAATCATTTTGGTTAGCCCTTTTTCAGTAAATATGTACATGAAAGGAAACTTAAGGCAGCCTAGTGGGAGCAAATATTACTAACAGAGTTTTTTCTTGTGTTTTTAGTTTTCTTTTCTTTTTTATTTTTAATTTTGTCAGTTGTGGGGCTTGAACTCCAGGCCTGGGTGCTGTCCCTGAGCTCTTTTACTCAAGGGTAGTGCCCTACCACTATGAGCCACAGCACTACTTCCAGTTTTCTAGTGGTTAATTGGAGATAAGAGCCTCACAGACTTTCCTGCCTTGCGTTGGCTTTGAACCTTGATTCTCACATCTCAGCCTCCTGAATAGGTAGGATTTCAGGTATGAACCACCAGTACCCAGTATTGGTTTTGTTTTTGTTTTTGTCAGTCATGGGGCTTGAACTCTGGGTCTAGACATTGTCCCTCAGCTCTTCAGCTCAAGGCTAACGCTCTAACCGCCACTTTCTGGTGGTTAATTGCAGATAAGAGTCTCATGGACTTTTCTACCTGGGCAGGCTTTGAACCATAATTCTCAGACCTCAGCCTCCTGAGTAGCTAGGATTATAGGCATGAGCCACCGGTGCCTGGTATTTTGTGGGTTTTATATAGTTTTCTGGGGCTGGGAAGGTGGCTCAGTGGTAGAATGCTTCTTGCATGCATGAGGCCCTGGGTTCGATTCCTCAAGCACCTCATAAACAGAAAAAGCCGGAAGTGGCCCTGTGGGCTCAAGCAGTCAAGCGCTTGCCTTAAGCTGAAGAGCTGAGGGACAGCGCCTAGGACCAGAGTTCAGGTCCACGACCGGCAAAAAATAAATAAATAAAAATAAATAAATAAAAATATAGTTTTCTTAGTGACCCAGAACAAAATGTCCCATTGTCATAAAAACTTAATTATAAACGAGACAAAAAAATCAACAGATTAGGGCTGGGAAGTTGGCTCAGTGGTAGAGCCTTGCATGCCTGAGGCCCTGGGTTCGATTCCTCAGCACCACATAAGCAAAAAGAAAAAAAAAAGCCGAAAGTGGCGCTGTGGCTCAAGTGGTAGAGCACTAGCCTTGAGCTGAAGAGCTGAGGGACAGCACTCCGGCCCAGAGTTCAGGCCCCATGACCGGACCCCCCCCAAAAAAAATCAACAGATTACATAAGTGATATGTACTTGCATTTTATAGAACTTGTATCTTACATATAAGTTTATTTTGTTTGAATTGTAGAAAAACTCCTGGTGTATGTAAGAGTAGAACAAAGGAATGCAGAAAATGAAAACTATTACTTAGTGTTAAGTTAGTGAGATTCAATCTCTGTTTGTTTTTTTTAAACATTAGAAAATTTGTGCAGGGGCTGGGAAGGTGGTTCAGTGGTAGAGTGCTTGCCTCGCATACATGAGGCCTTGGGTTTGATTCCTCAGCCCACATAAGCAGAAAAAGCAGGAAGTGGCGATGTGGCTCTAGTGGTAGAGCACTACCTTGAGCTGAAGAGCTGAGGGACAGGGCCCAGGCCCAGAGTTCAGGCCTCACGAATGACAAAAAAAAAAAAAAAGGAAATTTGTGCAATATAATAAAAGAAAGAAAAAAAGGCTTTTGAGAACTACCTATTAAAGAACTACCTATTAAAGCACTATATCTATACACACAATTAACTTGGCATTCTGGCACAACCAAAACCATTTAAATTGCTAATAAATATTAGGTTGTAATAATAGAAAGAGCTAAGGTTTATTGTGAACTTACTATATTCCAGGCAGTATAGTAAGATTTTAAATATGCAATCATGTTTAAGCCTCATTAAATTCATGCTTGATGGGTACGATTATTGAGCATCTTTATGTTTCAAATGAGAAAGCTAAGGCCTGATCAAGTCATAGAACAGGTGGAGTCTGACTTGACCTCCTGAAGTCTAATATTGTCTTCCAGGTTTAGAGAATTGCTCGTTCAAAATTCATCTTCAGAACGTCAATCATGTCATATCATATAAAATGAAACTGGCAACAAAACTTTTAATGTTGCTAATATTTAACCACATAAGAAAAAGAGAAGGAAAAAGGTGCAAAGACTAAAAGGATTGGGGAACTGAGGAATAGTCTGTTTCATGAAAACAGACCAATAATATCTCCATACTCTATTACATGAAACCTGAAAACACAGTTAGACTCCTTGTGTAACTTCTCAAAACTTTTAACTCTATGAAATAAAAATTATATTATCAAATATTATCAGTCTTTAATATTATGAGTTGATTAATATTTATCCTAAAAGCTTAACTTTTCACTTATAAAAGCTAGTTACATTAAAGTTCCTAAAGTTTAGTGTAATTTTAATAAACTATAAATGCTTTAAATTTAAAATGCTTAAAAAATTTTGCTTTGCTTTTGCTATCCTTAGGATAACAACAAAAATGTTAGCTTTTAAAACATAAAACACGTTTCCAATGAAAGAAAATAGACTAACAAGTAATGGGAGGGCCTCTCTGTTTAGTTTTTCCTTTCTCTTTCCTACTCAGTATTTATCTTTTTTTTTTTTTTTTTTGTCGGTCGTGGGGCTTGAACTCTGGGCCTGGGCGATGTCCCTCAGCTCTTCAGCTCAAGGTGAGTGCTCTACCACTTGAGCTACAG